CGGCGAAGGCCGGGTGTTTGTGGCAGAAAATGGTTTCGAGCAAGGGTCGGTATACGGTATGCGCGCAGCTGCCAGGCATGGAGGAGGGCGAGTTCTCCGAGGCCCGCGAGGATTTGGCAGCCTTGGAGAAGGCTGCACAGGGCTGCAAGAAACGAATGTGGCACAACACTGCTGCCCAGACTGCTTTGCCATGCTCTTGTTCAACAGGGCGAAGATGCATACTTGAGGGTTAATTGTGGCCATTACCCTACACCTTACTAGGGGCATTGTGCAGGGTTTCTCAGGAACTATGCAAAAGAAAATGGAAACTACTAGTTAGGGTTTAGGATGAATTGTGGTCGACAGCAAGAATGCAATTGCCATCATGACTTAGTTCTACGGGTCTGGCTCTCAGCCTTTTGACCCTCCATCTACCGTCTACCTACCCTAAATACCCACTATTACAGGTCTTTTTCCTGTATTAGAATTTACGGCACAAGGAGGGTCTCTTAACTCTAAACCCCTCTTTAAAGGTACAAGGGGGTTCCTAAACCCTAAATTTTTTTGAGGGTACAAGGAGGGTCCTGGAATGCTAGATTTCCGTAATGACAGATTCCCAATATAACCCCTATATAATCCCCATAATCCCTATAGTTTCCATGTTCTTTTCCATTCTCCGTCTATAACCCCTATATATATACATATATCTGTACACCCCTATATAACCCTAGATAGCCCCTTAAAGGGACCTAGGCTTTCCATTTTCTTTTCCATTATCCCTCTATAGCCCCTAAACCCTAAACCCCATATACAGATTTCCGTAAATGCGACTGCGAGCTTTAAAGTCGGAAGGACTACGAGGAGGTGGGCATCGAAACCGCCGAAGGGGAAGGACCTGGATTTAGGGTTTCAGGGGGTTTAGGTGTTTAGGGTGTTAGGGTTTTAGGGTTTAGGTGTTTAGTGTTTTGGGTTTTATGGTTTAGGGTTTGGGGTTGGCTGGTTCAGGCTTCCAGCTCAAGGCTTAGCCATTAGGAAACGTTGGGCTCCTAGCTTGCGGCGAGCTTTCTCTGGTTGCTTCTGATCTAAAGATTCCCAACATAATGAAATATAACTGGGGATATTTGAAATTAGGGTGGGGGGGTGAATATTGGGGGAAGGGGCTCACTTCATTGCGAGGGAACTGCACAATGAGCTCATTTGAAGGGCTGATGCGTATCCCCAAAGCCTTTCATGGTAGTTGTTACTTATTGCTGTAGTGATAACAACGATCAGTAATCCAATCATGGTAAACGTGATACCCATTAGAATATTGCCCTGAGACCCTAAACCTTATTTTCCCAGAATTATGTCAGTAATACTACCAACCGTAACATCCATAAGCCTCATATCAATACTAATAAGGCTGCCAGTAGGAGTAGCCTCTAAGCCCTACACCCTAAACCATAAATCCCCAGAATTTTTAGTAGGCACCATACCAATAGTAGTATCAGTAAGCCTTATGCCAATTTCCACTTCTGGCAGGAGGCAAGGCCTGGGTGTTCATCATCTTAACGGTGCGTTTTTTACGAAAGACTTGTAGTAGTTTTAGGTTTGAGGGTTAAGGGTCGTTTTAAGCTCTAGGGAAATGGGATCAGGGCCTAGATAGTTTGAAAGTTATGAAGCCATTGTATACGGGTTACAACGTCTGCAAAGGGCGTTCAGGTAACGTGTGGTATAATCGTATAAGGATAGTCAGGCAAGAATGTTGGTAAGCATTCAGGCTTCTATATTGCATTGCAGCACGTCAGGCCATGCAAGCAAGACCGACACCAAATTCCTAGTATCTAAATCCCCCAGCTGCAATGGCGCAAACTTTCAAGTGTGGCGCTGCCTGCCCAACCTTTTCGATTTCGACCCGATGAACCCCTAACGTTTGACCCTCAACTGCTCAAGCTTCAGGCAGAAACTCTGAGCCTGAGCCCTCAGCCGTTGAAAGCTCTGCAGGAGAGGAGGAAGGCTACGGCGACGAGTTCTGAGCGCCTTCTGGATGTGCCCCAGGAACCACCCCGAGACATCTGGTCTACATCTTTACCTTGTTCTAGCTGTTTCCGGTTTAGGATTTAGGGTCTGGTGTCTGCTAGCTACATAGAACTTCTGTGCCGTCGTGACCATAATGACCGTTACAGTTTTTGTGCCTTGGGCAGTGAATGGTCATAAAGGATTGGCCATACTAAGCTTCACTCTTAGAAATATACGCGGGCTTCCAAAAACAGAGGGTCCCAATACAGAGCCAATTGAGCCAATTATTCTGATTTTCATTGTAGGCACCACCAAAAAGGATCTCCAATTCTAAGAATCCCTAATATTACAAACCCCTGTACAATCCCAGTTTCCATTCAATTGTTTCATGTTCTTTTCTTTCTGATCTTCCATTATTGGGGTAATGCCTTACCAGTACAGCGTAGTCCTTGTGGCCAACCTCCCTAAACCCTGTACCCTGAGATATGTAGCGCAGCTTGTGTAACTAGGGCGCAGCACAGAGCGTCGAGGTGAGCGTTGCCATCTTCTAGCATGCGGCTTAGGGGTTTAGGGGTTGGGTGTTTGGCGGTTCATGGTTTAGGGCTTGGGGTTCAGGACTTAAGTGTTTAGGGTTTGGTGTTCAGGGGGTGTTTAGGGCCCCTGATACTTAGAACATACGGCCGGCAATTTTCTATTTCGGCCGTGAAGACTGTGCAACATGCTGCGTAAGGCCTGTTGCAACAACATGCGAGAAGCAAACACTGCAAGTCACTTCACCTTACAGGCTGTCTTTGTGTGAGTAGAGTTTCAAGAAAGCCTCATGCATTGCATGCGCCAATGTGATGATGCCTAGCAGAACTATGCCAGATTTTGGGCGGGTTCCTTGGGAAAATGCGCCAGTGAGTGGACCCACACTTGCTGGGATGCATGAGGACTTGAGAAGCTTTCGCCTGCTTAGTCAGGCGTGAGCTCGCACTGGTGCAGCTGGAAAAAGCGAACTTCCAAACGTTGGCCTGCGAAGAAAGTGCGATTAGGGTGTTTCTGGAAAGGATCCTTATCGAGCACTTCGGAAGGGCTCTACCCTTAACCCTAAACCCTGAACCCCGCGTACTTCTAAGTGTAGGATTCTTGAGATGTCCCCATGTTGAAAAACTCCCATATTGCTGACCATGTGGAGCACCAGAAAGCCCAAGATGCTTTACGCGATGCAAGAATTCCTGTTGTGAGTTGAGGAGTATTCTTGCATTTAAGGTATGGGGTTTCCTGACTACTTTTGGCATTGAATCTTCCACATGAAATGATTTCAGTTTGAGACGAATCCATGCGGCCTACAACATTGCAGGCCCTGTAAGGCTCTCCCATAGTTGGTCAGGCTTTTGTGAGAAGCAACTTTGAAGTGGCTGGGGGTTCTCTAAGTCTGCATGTTTCAAAGGGGCAGTAGGAGCCGTCCTCGCGTCTTCGCTGGCATCCTGTGTGCGGTGCGTGGGAGAAGGGTTTACATGACATTTTCACAGGTGGATGGCTGTGCTGTTTGCAACCTTGTTCTTGCCGCTGCTGGCCCAATGAGGATTTGTGCCTGAGGCCACTACATCACGAAGTGACTTCCGACGCTTTCCGACTTTGCAGCCATGCGTGAGGCAATCTGCATCCACATTGGCCAGGCGCTATGCCCTTGAACCGAACAAGCAAAATGCAAACAAGGGCTCCTGTCATCTTAGCCCGCGTCAAGTCAAGTGTGTTTTGCCTTGAATTGTCTCGATCTGTTCACATATTTGCTTGTTGCCTTTCGACCCTTCATATTCTTTTGTTGAACCGAACCACGTGAGGGCTGCAAAATCTTGGGATGCTTTTTGGTGTCAGGGCGGCGTTCAGATCGGCAATGCTTGCTGGGAGCTGTTCTGCCTGGAGCACGGCATCCAGCCTGACGGCCAGATGCCTTCCGACAAGACGATCCTGTGCTGCCTTGGGGTTGATTATCTTGCTATATTCCCTATGAAGCTATGACATATCCCCCAGGCCCTACTCGAAGTGTTTAGGCCTTGCTTGCACTTGGGGGGGATGCTTTGGACTCTTGAGCAGCGAGGCTCATAGTATTGGAAGATATTGGAAGTATGAAAAAATCAGCAGAAGTCGCCAAGTTTGACACTCGCACACGCAAGGGTTTGGTAACACAGCACGCCGGAGTAAGGGTGTTGTAAAGTTGTGGCATGAAGAAATCACTCTAGACAGGCTTTTCAGCAAACGCATCCAAGGATTGGTGGCGGAGATGCGGCTCAGCAGCAATTCGAGCAGAACTGATTGTGTCTTTGTAGGTTCTTGTTTGGCTGTTGAGGTGTCCGTGTCTTTTCGGGGGCCTGAAGCAAGTAGTCATGCTCATGCCCATCTCAAATCCAGCGTCGGCCTCCTCTTCAGGACGCCTTCAACACATTCTTCAGTGAGCACCTCCTATGCATTTGGGACTTTTTGGTGCTTCTTGCTTCCGTACTCTTGATGGACAACTTCCTGCATGACGCAAATGTTATACTATGGCACCACAGTTCCTAGAGCCTACGGTTCAGGTATTGTCCGTCCACCGTGTAATTCGGAACCCTCAAGATTCCGGGCCAAGCTCTAGACTTGCGCCGCGCACCCCGCGACGCAATGCAATCTCAGCCCTACTGTAAAAGCCTGCATAAAGAATAGCAGGATCCCCTTCATTCCCTGCAGCGCTTTAGTCTAACATACCCCAGACCCCTGAAATTCTTTAGGCACCTACCCGAAAATTTTTGAGAATGCAAGCCCTTCCCGTTCGAACCCCTCACTTTGAGACCCAGGACAGGCGCTGGCAAGCACGTGCCTCGCTGCGTGATGGCCGCTCGGCAGAGTACATTAGGTAGTGCAGGGGCCTCAACAATTACATATTGCGGTCCGAGATTCCTTATACAATTTTGGTACAGGGTACCTCAAGTAGACCTTGAAACTATATTGGTAATTATTTCGGTCTCCACAGTGGGTGGCCTACCCTTCCTCGACCAGCGTGGAACCTCATGTGGTCCCATTTGCAGAATATGGCACTCTACACAACTTCTGTGTTTTCGGGAAAATGACAGTACTACCAAACTGAGACGGGTGTTGTACCTTATCCCACTAGCCCGGATGGTGCGTTTACAGCGAAATAAAACCGCAGGTTGATCTCGAGCCAACCGTCGTGGATGAGGTCCGCACAGGCATCCTGGGACACCCTCGCCTCTGCATGAAACAGACACAAGACAGTAGCCCTAAATCAACTAAACGTTATAGTAGTTTCCATTTTCTTTTCCATTAACCCAATATATCCCCAATCCCCTATAGCTCAATACAATAATATTACCCCTATATAACCCCCCCCCATGTCTCTAAAGCGGTGGCATCTTACTAACGCAGCGCTTGGGTAGGATGGAGGTAGGCTCCCTTCTCGGGATCGTGCTTGCAAATCGTTCTGATGCTGTGGGTAGTTAACTAGTGCATGCCATGAAATGTGAGAGAAGAGCTTCCACAAGCCCTAAACAGCGCTCACAAGGGGCGTGTGTGGGTCGTTGCAGGCACCTATCGTCAGCTTTTCCACCCGGAGCAGCTCATCTCTGGAAAGGAAGACGCCGCGATCCTCGGTGCCTAAGAGCGGTCCTTCTTTGCGTCTTCTTGGCTTTGCATCTTCCTTCTTGCGTTCGCAGTTAGTATGTGTTTTTTGTGTCTTCCTGGTTCCAAGCTTCAAGTTCCATACAGAAGCAAAATCCGCATCACCGGAGTGTTGCTGTGTTGCATGTAGCTAGTTGCCTGCGACATCTTGCCAACTTAGAAACAATTTCGCACGCGGACATTATACGATTGGCAAGGAGATCGTGGATCTTGTTCCTTGGAATTGCTATCAGACAAGTTCTGTGTTTGTCCCTGTGTAGACTTCTCTTTCTCTGCAGGTTCCATTGCCGCATCCAAGGTCCTGGACCGCATCCGTAAGCTCGCCGACAATTGCAACTTGAGTTGGTATCATGTTAGTTTGTCCTTTTTCTAATGGGCTCTTCATGCATGCTATGTGCTTTCAGAGTTATCCACCACGAGCTGATCGCTTGATTCCAAGGCACTGGGCTTCAGGGCTTCTGCGTTTACAACGCCCCTTGATCAATATTGTTCGTGAGCATTTCTCATGATGGTGCTGTTTTGGTTCGTTTTCGTGTAGATACCAATACAACAGCAAAGGCATCAGACATCGGAAATTCTAGCAAACTCCCATCCGACTCATGAATCAAAATCCAGAATATTTGAAGGCCTGTAAGACACCAAGCGCTTTAAACTTGCGGCTCCCTAAACTTGCAACCCTACATGGCGAACCACTCATTTCCCAATCATCCTAACAAGATCCAGGCCTGCGGCGGAGGCACCGGATCCGGTCTCGGCTGCCTGATGTTGGAGCGCTTGTCCGTGGACTACGGAAAGAAGAGCAAGATCTCCTTCACGGTCTGGTGCTGCCCTCAGGTGGCCACCGCCGTGGTCGAGCCCTACAATACTGCCTCTTGGTCGCTGAACAGTGCACTTCCATTTTTTTGCCTATGCCGTATGCTTAGGCCTTCTACCTTGAGATCTTCAAACAAGCCAGACCCGAAGAACTCGGCAACTCAGGTCTTGTGCGTGCACTCCCTCCTGGAGCACACGGATGTGACCATCATGTACGACAATGAAGCGCTCTATGACATCTGCCGCAGGCGTGTTGGAGCAAATCAAAGACAGCTTCAATGAAGACTTTTCTCATACCTCCAGAATGAATAATTTCCCTTTCAGGAACCTGGACATTGAGCGCCCCACGTACACGAACCTGAACCGACTCATCGCTCAGATCATCTCCAGCTTGACGGCGTCGTTGCGGTTCGATGGAGCCTTGAACGTGGACATCACGGAGTTCCAGACCAACCTTGTCCCGTACCCGCGCATCCACTTCATGTTGACCTCCTATGCCCCTGTCATCTCTGCGGAGAAGGCCTACCA